AGGCTATGCCCTATACTTTCGCCCCTGATTCCTAGCCATATTCCTTTTTTTTTTCTTCCTTCTGCATGCATCGTGATATCCATTTTAAACTGCTTGTAGCCAACACATGTTGCAGCACAATACGGCCAGACTGCTTTTTTCTGTCACATTGTCTCAAAGTGGAATGCCGACCCTGATGTTCCTGATAATGATGGAAGAAGTCCCTTGCATTGGTATGGTCCCATGATTGTTGCATGTAATCTTTGCTACTTGGTTGTTAGTGTGTATAGTTGACGTCCAAAATTATTGCTAATTGTTAGAATACAGTTCTAATATTTTATTCTATTTTCTCTACTGTGTGAGAAATTCAGGGCTGCATATAAAGGTTATGCAGATTGTATCCGTCTTCTTCTGTTTTTAGATGCATATAGAGGACGACAAGACAAAGAAGGTTGGTCTTATAATTGTAGTCTTTGAAAATCAATGCTCTTTATTTCTCTTGTTAGATTAGAAATTGGAATATGTTACAAATGTTTCCCCATTTCATTGAATCTATTCTTAGGTTGTACTCCTCTGCACTGGGCTGCTATCAGGGGTAATTTGGAGGCATGCACTGTCTTGGTACAGCCTGGGAAGAGAGAGGATTTGATGATTACTGATAATACTGGGCTTAGCCCAGCACAACTTGCTGCGGAAAAGAATCATAGACAAGTTGCTTTTTTCCTTGTAGGTATCTGTCTCTATTTTTTTAAATTTTGTAGTGGTTTCTTCAACATATTGTTCATAATGGCTGCTGGCTCTAGTAGTAAACGAGTAGTGATCCATTTTCCGGCCTGCTGTTATACTTGGTTAACTAATTTATAGATTTTAACAAGTAGGTGCATCATATTAAACCCTTTCCCCAGTCTGTATAGATCTCCTGGCTGAACCGATTCTCTTCTCTGCTCAGGATGAGCCATCATTATGCTTAGTAGTCTGAAAAATATATAACCACATTATCAGTTCCTTTTGTCTTACAAACATTAATATGCAGGGGAATGCTCGAAGGCTACTCGAAAAACGTTGGGACGTAAACAGTCCCCTTGGAAGAATATCAAAGTTGGGACTTGCTCCCATACTTTGGTTCATGATCCTGCTGCTTCTGCTCATATATACTAGTTCTGTCATTTTGGGTAGTTGCGTTGGCCTTGAATCTCCTTTATGTACTGTATCAAGTCGAAAATCACGAATGTATGCTTCATCATAATTTTTAAACCCTTTCTCATTCTTGCAGCATCAAATCTGCCAAAGTTATCATGTGGGTATGGTACACTTGCATGGCTGGGTTTCCTTCTAGCAACTGCCGGATTATATATGTTTTACCGCTGTAGCAGGTATATGCTGACCCAATGTTGCGTATATATACACATTTTATTAGGATGTTTTCTCATAATAGTTTAATTTGGGGGGTGAAATGTGAAGTAGTCGTGATAGTATTCAATTTGTTTTGAGTGAATCCCTTGTTTATTTACTATGGCCTCAATGATTAATCTGTGTTTGCTTTTAGTTTACAGTTTACTAAAATATCTTATGAAACACTGAAATTGTTCCATTTAAAAAATCAGATGTAGATTTGTGTTCGAAAAAATCAACCTATAACAGTTTCTGTTGAATCCAATTCCCTGTTTTTCCACTGTTTTCCCCTTTTTACTGAATGATGGGAACACAATAAGTGGATTTTCTTGGCGTGTAATATATTATTTCATTTGCAGCAAGGATCCCGGTTACATCAGAATGAACATCCATGATCAGCAGAACATGAAAGATGATGTGAGTATCATTTGCTCATGGTTGTCCATCTTTTTTTGCAAAGGAAATCATGCTGAGTACTCTGTTTTTGCTTCTAAGATTTCATTTTTTCTTATGTTTCGGATATTTCTTGTCTCCACTTTTTAGGAACCTTTGCTTAAAGTAGAGCTGAACAATCCTGCTTTGCTTGCTGGGAATTGGACGCAGCTCTGTCCGTCGTGCAAGGTAGAGTGAAACCTCCCGTTTATCTTTTCTTCATGAAAAATCTGAACAGCAAATTTCAAGCATGTTACATCATGAGACTTTTCTTCTTTTTTTTTCTGTGTGATTGATATCGTCTTACAGATTGTTAGACCTCTTCGAGCTAAGCACTGTTCTACCTGTGATCGTTGTGTAGAGCAATTCGACCATCACTGTCCCTGGGTATCCAATTGTATTGGCAAAGTAAGTACAGTTTCTGTCTTTCATTATGTTGGAACTACAAGTTGACAAAAATTAGCATTAGATCTTTTATAACTTCTAGTGTCCTTTGTTTAGTCTGGTGTAGTTGTTATAATTCTTTTAGTCTTTTACGTAAGCAGACTGTCCAAATATTCTTTTTAAAGTTGGTTTACATGATATGAAAATTGTAGTTTTATATAATATATGGTGCATATTTTGCATGTACAAACCAACTGAGATTTTCTTTTGCTTGCTAGGGTGTTTGATATCCCATCGTAGGTTCTGTTGAGTTTTGGTTATATTTTTTTCGTTTATCTTTCTTGCAGAAAAACAAGTGGGACTTTTTTCTTTTTCTTCTGCTGGAGGTTCTGGCCATGCTGATTACGGGCGGTGTTGCTCTTGCAAGTATGTTTGGAAGCTGATCTTGAAGCTAATCCTGATATGTATGTAGTAGCTCAAGCACACAAACAAATATAGAAAAAGAACCAAACAGTTAGTTCTTTCCATGCAGGAGTCTTGACTGATCCTTTGGCTCCATCTACGTTTGGAGCATGGATGAGCCATGTTGCTACTAAGCACGTGGGGGCGTTGTTGTTTCTGGTTGTGGAATTCTGCCTCTTTTTTTCTGTTGCTGTCTTAACTGTCATACAAGCTTCACAGGTATGACTGATGTTCCTTTTCTCTATTTTGCTGTTGCAATGGTTTTTTAACAAAAAGGACAGTAGAGATAGGTTATCCAGAAGATTGAAACACAACATACCTTGCAAATTGCAATGAACTGAGCCTAACATAAAAAAAAAAAATTATAAGAGCATACCGTACTTTTGTATATAGAAGCCGAAGTTTTAACACAAGGGGGGTTGATGATTTCTGTTTGCTGTTTTAAAAGATCATCATTGCCAGAAAAATTCGTGTGGATATGGAATCTCATTAGTTTCTTCTTTGTCGATATGAAACTACCTAGATATAAAATGAGCTCTTAAGCCCTTTGGGTGTTTATAAACTTTGTAAGTTTTATTTTGGTTGCAGATATCAAGGAACATTACAACAAATGAAATGGTGAATGCACTGCGGTATAGCTACCTTAAAGGCCCTGGTGGGCGCTTCAGAAATCCTTACGACCGTGGTTGCAGAAGAAATTGTTCGGATTTCCTAGTAAAAGGTTACAACGAAGACATTGAGTGTCGTGAAGAGGACCCATCAAATGGAGAAGAAGAGGAGGGAGGTATTGGCATGATCCAAATGCAGCAGATTTCGAAGCTTCAAAACGGGAACACCAATGAAAACGGACACATTGCTATTGATGTTAACCCGATACAGCATTTGCAGTCGCCACATGGAAACATGACTGTTCATTCTTCCAACTGCAGCCATAATACTAATAGTAGTAAACATGTGAAGTCAAAGAGTGAGAATGTTCCATTGGGTTTAGGCCTTGGTCTTGGTCTTGGCCGTAACCCATCTCTACCTGTTGTACCGCCATGATCATCACGATCTTGTATCCCTCATTCTTCAATTGTGCATTTGTGTTGTAAGAAAACACGTCATGATTGCTCGTTGGTTGCCTCAAGTCAATCATAATATCGGTCTCTGTTCTTGTGATTTTATGGTTACCTCTTTCTTCAAGTTCCTCTCTTTAGATAACTAGTTCAAGTCACCCCGATCGATTATATGATATAATGATCGAACCTAACCCCAAATACTACACCAAATAAACGCTGTAAGTTAGTTACTGTAATAGGTGATTAGGGGGAATAGGAACCCAAATGACTTGTAGAAATCAGTGCCCCAAAAAAATTGATTCAGTGCATGATTGGTTGGGTTTTAAGTGTTGTCTAGAGTCTTAATTTTTCTTAAAGCATCATTATGTTACCGTAGCTTTAATTCTTTATGATGTGATTCCATCCGGCAACCATGAGGTTAGGAGCGAGGCACGTGACATGGAGCTACCGCAAGGGTCGGTGACACGCGCAAAGGCGAGGATGCTRACGGAAACGATCGAGAGAATGTTCGAGGCGCCACGAGAAGACAACGCGGACAAGGAGGATCGGGTCGTGACACTTGTTCGGGCCGATCAACAAGATCAAGAAAGTGCCTAAGTGACAAGCACCTTGTCT